AATCCTAATGAAAGAAAGCTGATAAAGGGAAAAATATCATTAAAATTATTTCCATAAATAAAAAAATAAAAACATTAAAAACATAAACCTTGTTTGACGACTTTTTTGGTGTTTGATGTTCTTCATCTTCTATTTGTAAATTAGAAATTTCTTGTGGAACAACCAATATTTTACATTTTACTTTTTCATATGTGTCTGAATAATAAGTTCATTTAATTTTATAGGTGAATAAATAAGAGGTGATTTTGTTATTAAAAATTAGAATTGATTGCTAATTGATTTATTATACTAATCTCTTAGTTCCTAGAAAAAAACAATCATTAAATCTAAAATAATAGATTTACCAGTGCTATACATAATAGAAGTGCTGTGTTTTGACCAGGTGTTATTTGGCATCTCCCAGGCTTTGCTAGATTTTTTAATTCTTGCATCACTAACATGATGTGGCTAATAGCAGGAATTATCATTTACTAGCCATTGTCTGGTATAACATATGGTGATTCATTGAGAAATGACACTACAATGTATTTCATTGTTTCAAACAATGCATTTCATGTATTTTATTTTTTTTGTCTAAAAATCAAAAACACTACAATCCTTACATATGAGTAAAGATTTAAAAAGATAAAATGGAATGAATTTATTTTAAAATTGATATCTATCATATGGAATATGATAGATATTTGTTTTAAAAAATATCTATCATATGGAATGAATTTATTTTAAAACAAATATCTATTTATGGTTAAAAAAATTTATAGAAAAAAAAGAAACAATAAATATTCAAAAATACATTTTATAATAACAAAAAAATGAACCTATGGTTTTTTAATAAAACTTTTTAATAAACTTTTTAATATAACTAAATGTAAGAACAGTGAAATTATGGTTTCTGGGGTATGCATTGTTTATTTGTTTCTTGAGATTAGAATAATTTATGTTAAAGCACAACTTTCTGAAAAGATATGTATTCTAAAATCTTAAACAATGTATATAATTTGAACTAAAATAAAAATTTATTTTAGAAATAGTTTGAAGCTATATTAAATTCACAATTAATTTAATAACATAAACAAAAAACCTCTAAAAATGCAAAAGTGAAAGTGCAGCATACCTTGTTTGTGATGCAAGAGTAAAGACTTCTTATCAATGTTATGAATAAAGCTATAACTTGTAATATCTGATAAATTACAATTTATAGCTCTATTCATAACATTGATAACATTCAATACAGCTTTCGGTCAAACATGCACTAGAAGTTGCAGCAATGATAAACAATGATTAACAAAAGTTGCAGAAATGTAGATTACAATGAATTAAACTACTTCTTTACAATAAGGAGGAAAGTGTGGTTAAAGAAATGTTGGTTAAATTCATGCAGTTAATAGGTTCATAAAATAAATTAGAAAAAATGATTTTGAAAATAATTTTACCTTATTATTGCCTTATATGAATGATAGAATGTGTTTAAGAATGTTGTATTTTAGAATGTGGTCTTTTTGATATTGTTAAAAATTTTCCAAAAGTCTGCAGAACCTTCTGAGATTTAGAAAAAAACAAGATTTATATCTGTTCTAAACTTAATAATTGTGTATATATATATAAACATATAAATATATATATATATATATATATATATATATATATATATATATATAAATATATATATATATATATATATATATATACATATATATATATATATATATATATATATATATATATATATATATACATATATATATATATATATATATATATATATATATATATATATATATATATATATATATATATATATATATATATATATATATATATATATATATATATATATATATATATACACACACACACACACACACACATTAACACACACATAAACAAACACACACGCCGAGATGTTCAAATATTTTTAAAAGTCTTAACATAATAAACTATATTTAAAAGAAACACAACTCTTTTTAAAACAAGGTTTTTTCTATAAATTTTACTTAAAAAACAAACTTTAATTATTTTTTTACAAACAAATAATAAAATAACTTTAAATCTTAAAGAATAAAGTTTAAAACTCCTTTGTATCGACATATCTTTAAAGTATTTTCTGAAAGTATATAAAAAGTGTCTTAGGAAAAATTCGAAATACAAATGTACTTTAAAACTTGTAAATATTATGTACTTGTAAAAAATTGTGTGAAAAAATACCTAAATAGTATAACCATAAGCCAAGTTAAATTTTGCAGTACTTACAGAGCATCTTTTGTTGAGTGAGATATAAGCACATCGTCACAAGACCAAATACTTTCAAATTATTG